AGCTATCTTTCAGACCTTTAAAGCGGACTTCCACGTACATTGACAAATCACTGCAAATTCATTATGGCTTGCTTTCTTTTATTTGGTCTGCCGAAAACAAATTAATTATCGCATGTAATATATTTTTATGCAAAATGCCGACCATATACAAAAAAAAAAACAAATCATCTTTCTCTTTGAATTTTGTTATTGATTAAAATTCATTTTAAATGTAAGTTTCATTTCGAAACGTTGGCCATTTGATAATTAATTATGATAACCAACCAATGCAAACATTATTTTCATCATTAATATGACTCTGTTTTTTCACATTTCACGTATAATCCTTAATGTTTAAATTTTATCCGCTCGTGCATGCATGCATGAATACCTTCGAGCATTTGTAAACATTTCATATTTAATTAATCTGTTTAACGACATTTTCATATATGTAATATATGAAAAATGTAAGTTTATTCGATTTGTACTTTCCGTTGCCAATACCTACATATACGACTTAATGAGATGTATATATAGGTCTGTTTTGTAGGTTTGTCGTTCGTTCATATATATGTAGCCAGATGAACGATTGCGCGATCGTACGCAAGTAAAATGTACAATGATATTTAAAATTTCGATCAAGTTCAAGTGAACGGGCGGAATGCCTTCAGAATCATATTCAAAAGTAAAGAAAATATTACGACGTCTAGTCCGTTAACGTATATATTTATATTTATATCAAAATTGACCGAAACACTTATGAGGACTAATTAAAATTGGAGCGGAAGTATACGTTAGATCTCTTTACGAATAGACCGGTGATGACTTATTGAAGACCTAGAAAATGAATGCAAGCAAAATTTAATTTCGATCGACACCAAAATGACACCAAAACATTTTTCTGCTTTCGTATTTGTTCGTTTAAGGTGATGGATAGATGAATATAACGGCTTCTTTATTTATTTATATATTTTTTTTTTATCCTTTTTTTGAATGTAAAAATAATCAAATTATTAATAACATTTTTATAATTGGTTCATTTATTCTTTCTGCGGCAAAAAATTTGTGCACTTTTTTTTGTTTTTATGATAAAATCATAAAATTCAATCACATGCCAACAGACCAGGTCCCATATGTATAATATATAGGGGATATAGACATAATATGAATAATAGATTTGCAATATAATAATTGAATTGTTGTCACATTAGCCGCCCGTGCATGACCTAGTTTTTTTGTCTTTGCTAACTAGTTGAACTATCTTCGCACCGATGAGCACCTCACCTCGGTTAAGATTTCTCTTATTATTTTTAAAGAGAATCGAAAAATTGAAAAAAAAAATTTTTATAAAAATTTGCACAAAAAATGCATATATAAACGTACTACACACAAAAAAGAAAATGAAGAAATTCAATAATATTTCTCGGTGCATAGCAATGTGTTATACAAGCAAACAAAATGTGTGGTAAAGAAATTCGAAAGAATAAGCTCAATCCCGACTTTCGATGCATCTGAGAGGATCTAAAAAACTATGAGTAATATCTAAAATGATTGCGATGTTAAGAGTTCATTAGATCTAAAATTATTTCCCCATGTCATTAGAAGAAGACTTTTTGTTCGTTAGCAAAAACACAAACCTTCCATTTTGTGGACTACTTGACTATATTTCTTTCTATCTTCACTTTATTTAAATTTTATCACTAATAATTTGTATAATAAGATCAACAAAAGTAGTTCGATAATCCCACGGCCTCTTCTTACTATTAATCATTCCGGCTGAATTAAATCGTGAAGAAGTTTTGAAAATGTTAGATTGTTAAGAAATTTTTTTGTTTCTATAGTCGTTGCGCTTATGTCAAATATATAAAATTTATGCTACGAGAGTGAATATGGGAAGTGGTTTTACGAAACTCGATTGTTAGTGGATACTAATCTAGTTGTTATTAATCAGTTGTTTCCGGACTTCTACGAAAGCTTCTGAAAGCAAATATGACGGATCTTCACCAATACTTTATGTATGTTTCCCTTTTCTTTTTTTTTCCCTCTTTATGCACAAACACAAAATAAATAAATGGAATTTTGAAATACGGTATTTTGATGCCCTGGGTCACTTGTGATGCAAGAGTGCATTAGGTTTGCGCGGATGTATGCGATAGCCACCACCTGTTATGACACTGATCGGTCCAGAATTTCCATGTGAATTGATCCAAGTTTGTTTGTCCATCTGTCTGTCTTGTTTTCTTATGTTCAACTTACAGAGCGGATTTCTTAAGATTTTTCGATGAAATTTGGTACATTGACGTGCTTGGATTCAAGGGCTAACGTCATTAAAAAAAAAGTTTCAGATCGGGTCATTTCTTCGAGCACTTTTTATTTATAATCACTTATTTTGAAATGTCTTCATACGAGTAAGCCATGTATAGGGTGCATTAGGGCACTTAGTGGTGGGCTGTGGCTCATTATAAATAAAAGAACACCACCTGCACCATTCGGTGTCCTGGGAAAAATTTCAAGTTAACGAGTGCATCTCATAATGTTACCGGGCGAAGAAAAGACATAAATTGAAAGAATTTGCCAACTCCACGTTATTATTAGAAACATTTTCAGTTATCCAAATTCGATTTACGATAATTCATGCTTTTGTTCATTCAATTAAAGATTTGCTTCAAGTCGCTGTAGACAATGTTCGAAAGGCGGAACTCGAAGGAAAAATTTAATCCAAAGAAATAACTTTCTCTTACAAGTGTTTTTAACAACAGCGACTAACAAACTGTAAGCATTTAAAACGTGAAATTATGGAAAGACGAAATGTACATGAACTTGAGTATTTATTACTATGCAGTTAAGGTAACTATTATGTGACCGGCTGGCTTAAAAGTTGCAAACAAAGAAGAAAGAAAATAACAAAAAGAAAACAACATAAAAAAGGTTTTCTTTTTTTTCTTTTTTTTCTTTTTTTTTAACAAAAGTAACGAATATGAGTGCAGAGAAAATATAAATGTAATATTTTATTGTAAAAATGTTTCTTAAAAGAAAAATTGTTAGTAAATCTAACATTACACGGAAGGCGAATGTTAATTAAAAAATAATAATTTCAAATTTAATTTAATTTGTTAAAATAGCTTAGATTTTTGTAACTACACAATAGTATATAAGCATAATTATAAGAAAAAGAACGCAATTTATATAAGTGTATATAACGGTTCAGGCGGGTATTATTAACAATAATAATTGTCGGGAGTCCGCTTTGTGTGCGTGCCCAGGTGGCGGATAGGGGAAAGCACTGAGAGAGCGCCGGGCAGGCGGAAATAAACATCACACATGGACCAAAAATCCGACTAACTGTAAAACCCAGGCACGATAGTCCCAGAATGTCATAATCATCGGTCGTTATACATTACGTTAACGATTCCTGCGGAAGCGTTGACACTGCCAATAGAGTGAATCTCAATATCAATGAATGAAATGAAAACACAAAAGCCTCGTACGACCGTCGTAAAGGCAGAGAACTACATGGGATACGGCAGCTTCATCCCAACAACAATGAACCCAATAGATTAACTTATTTTGCTAATAGATGGATCTCCGACGGATCTTCGCGCCCAACCGCAACAGCGGACACTAGCAGACAGCAAGTAAGATGGGGTATAGAAATGAAACGACCTACAATGCGCTCTTATTTCGCTGCAAACAAATGCGAAATAATTACAGCTGAATATAGATTCCAAATGGAACACTAATATATATAACAAAATAACCGCAACTTAATAATCTGACGCAACCAAACATCGCAGATAGGAGAAAGGTTATTGTAGGGAAAACTAAAATCACGGGAATAAGAGATGAGACGGCAGAAACCGTAAGGGTAAACCAAATATCCCATCAGAGCGACATAATACCTACGGTGGTAGACACCAGCGATTATTAGGTGAGTGAACGCGAACCAGGAAAGGAGAACTATCAGGAGGGTATTAACCACGACACCCTGCATATCAATGACAATGCAATGCAAGAGAGAATGTCAGGTGAAACCCAAAAGATAAAGGTTGCGTTTGAAACAGCCATGACGGAATCTGGGAATTTTGACAATGGGATAACAATGGGGCAACAATATCTAAATTGTATCCTGCCCAAAAACGAACAGTGTGCGTAACAGGGTAATGAACACTTGCATAATACCCAATCGTAAAACTCACACGACCATAAGCTCTGTGGTATACGCTGCTGCAATCACTACAGCACGCATGCTGCATTTTAAGACACGTACAGCTTATCCGAAAGGGGAGAAGGATCTACTGTAGCTACATAGGATGAAACAATATCCACACGATTTTGCCAAAGGCATGTAAAGAGGCAGGAAGTAAAAATAGAGTTTTTTTGGAAATGCAGAAGCAGTGTGGAAGTAGTAAATCATATTATTGCCGGGTGCACAACACTTGCTAGCATGGAATGCCTGAATAGCCAACCAGCTATGGTATAGCGCATCAAACAAATATCATAAGCCCTATATGACAAGTATTAGCCAGCGCTGGTAACGACGAGAACGAGAATGCCGCGATCTATTGGGACAGACAGATCGTCCCATCAACGCCCATGAACCGAACATAGTCGTTCCAAACTGGCAGAACAAGCTCATCGACATTCTCCCATAAGATGGCTAAATATAAGGAGCAAGCGCAAGAGATGAAAGGCATGTATAAGATAGAAAAAGTTACTATAACTTCAATCGCGATGTCCTATGCGAGAGTAATGCCAGAAACTGTGGATTTATAATCTAATGGAGCAGGCACAAAAAGCAATGCTAACCTCTACAACGACTTTGGCACGCGGATTCTTGCGACACCAATAAATGCAGATGCTAGAGTATTATTGAAAATAAACCCCAACACACATCACGAGAAAACAACAGAACCTAACTCGTTGGTGTAATAGACCTGGCGATAGGTGAATTTCCAGCGGTGGCTGAGTAATGTAGAAATTCATAATAATAATAATAATAATAATAATAACGGAACACTTACCGTTGTCAATAAACATTTCGATTCCCGTATGGCACCACAATAGCCCATGAAACTCATTAAGAACATAACACCGCCGATAGCTATTAAGACGTAGGCCAATTGTTCAATAACTTGGGGTTGAGTAAATTGCTGTAAATGAAAAAGAGCGACACAAAAATCAATTAACATGAAATTAAAAATAAAATGGAGGAAAAGGCAAAAACTTTGTATTTTTAAACAAGAGAGACTTAAAGTTTTCAAAAAATTTTGCTAATATCATGTTACCGTTAGGTGAAGAAAGTTACGAGAGAAGCCCCGTTTCAGGAGGAAATTGAGTAAGAAAAATAAGCTCGAGGCAATTTTAAGTATTCAATATCTCTAAATGTGAAATGTGAATACGAGAAAATATTGGAAACACAAAAAAAAAAAAAAAAAAAGTACAAAGACAAGTAAGAAAACTTCATTCGACTCCGATCAAATTTTTTATATTCATCACCGTTGTTATAGAAAAGGCTTAAAAAAAGGAGGAAAAGTATTAATTTTTATACTCTATAATATTAGATGGGCGTAGCTAAATTTTTCCTACTTGCATAGAATAACAGTGAAAATGGTTATCGGGTGTTTGAAGCATTTCTATGCCCCTAAGGGGCATAAGTACATCTGCTATAGCAGTTAACAGACAGACGTACAGATGGACTGAAAACCATATTTAGAATGGTTCAAATTTGTTACTTATCAAAAATGCGAAGACTTTATAGAGTTTCTGCAGTTTCTTCCCGGAATGCTGCAAGCGCTTCGACAAAAGAATGAAATTTTAATATTCTATGTTATTGAATAGGTGTGGTCGATATTTTTCATTTCTTTACTGATGCTGCCGCAAAACCCAAAGAATATAAATTCAAATTTTTATCGGTTCATCTGTTGCTCATGGCATAATTAACGCGTGAAATATCAACTTTTTTTTTCATTTTTGAAAAGAAAGCAGTTGTGAGGTTACATTGCACTTTGGCATAACTTCAGCAGCGCATGAAATTCGCATGTTTCTGCCAAATTTGAAGCAGATGGGTTTCTTTATGCGACTGCGAGAATGTTTACCATAAACAGACAGAATGATAGACGGACGGACGGACAGACAAATGCATAAATAAGTTTTTCTGAAAATTGCTTCTGGGTGTTGAAAATGTTTTAACAAAGTAATGGGTACCAAATAAACATTGGGCAGGCGAGACGCAACCTAAACACGCACAGTGAAACCAAATGAATATTCATGGCATTAACTTCCTGCTCATGTTGATATCAGTCGAGTGGAAAGAGCTAACTTAATGCGTACGGCTCCTAACCATAATTAAAGCATAGGTAACATATACGAGAAGACTTTAAATTATAAAAAGACAATTATACACCACACCATTATAAAGTATAGGATATACTAAATTTGTACGGATGTATGCAACACTCAGAACGGCGCAAATAGTTTTGTCTTCAACCTATAGCTTGCACTTTTCGACATATTCGGATAAAATTAATTACCTTAAAATGTGTCGACCAAGGCGGCACGCTATTGACGAAAAGGTTAGTGTCTGACATGACGACATTGAGGCTCATATCATACAACCTGTAGATGAAAAGTTAGAAGCTCTAGACCCAGACGTGCTATTCACAGTAAGATAGCTTGTCTTCAAGTGTTCATATTTTCACGGTTTCACTATCACGTAAATTGGAAATTCTTCATCTACGTTATATGATAGCGGTATAGTGACTACTTTTTTATAGGCATAAATAATTGACAGCGTAACATATAGATTATAATAACTTCAATAAGTAAACAGTTAGCATATCTATAATATAACGTAGTTTCTAACGTAACATATATAGCCTCAATTAGACGACATAAAGATTACTATAGGAATGTCAGTAAGGCATCGATTTTTAATTTGTAAATTTTTACTCATTCTTTTAGGATCCATTAAAGGAATTAGCTGTACAGCTGCGTGCTGCACTTTGGGTGTACTGACCAATAATACGATGGATTGATTAAAATGCATTACACCGATCTATCTGTATAGGCCGCAATTGGAATGACAACTACATCCCCGAACGTAGATATCACTTAAAGAGATCACCGTACTGTACAATGTATTGCTGCAATGAGTGCTGTGACACAAAAATAATATCGAGGCTAATTATGTTAAGTTTGGACGACATTTAACATTAGTCTTTAACTGCCGTTTAATAGAAGAGGGCGCCGTCAGGAACGCCAATAAAAATTAGCCTCAAGAAGGAATATTGCAGATATAGTCGGAAGATTAAGCTTTCGATATAACAATACTTACAAGGAAAGAAGGTTAGAAGGAGATCGCGATACCTAGCCAATGCTCTAGTCCTGGCTAACGCTGTCCACAAAATAATACAAATTTAGAGAAAGTGCTACCCTAAACAGTGTGAAACAGATTGACATCAGCAACAGATTGACATCAGCGATCCGCAGAGGCGTTGTAATACGGTATTCAGTAACCACTTATATTCAATTAAGGTAGCAACGCCATCACATAATTTAGCATAGACTTCCGTTTCGACATAGTCTATCACTTAACTAGCTTGTATTATATATTTTTTTTTACTATTAATAAACCAATGAATGAACGAAAAAACATAGCATAACAACATAAGAATCCTTATGTAATCTTCATGCATTGTTATCAGAAATTTCTACGAAATACTAATCATTTTCGATCAGGACGGAATTGGACGTGTTGGTCGTGTACTTTCCATTCATCTGTTTTCTACTTGATACATGCACTACCGATTGATTTCCGGGAATCGGTCTTTTTTGCCTTTAATTAATAAAAAAAAAAAAAAGGAAAAATTATATGCGAAGGCTAAGTAACTTATCTAAGTTAATTTAAGTACACTTATATACTTTTTATGAGGGATTTCCTAAGAAACGGTAAAGTTCGACATATATAAAATTTTCATGAAGTCGATAGCATTTAAACCCTCTCTGTAGTTGGGCAATTAACTATCCGCTATACTGTTGATAGAAACGAATGAACGAAAGCTTCGGCACATGTGCGTACAAATATTGACATAAGAAAAAAAAAAAAAAAAACCGGAAAAACATTTAATCAATTATCAACGAATGGTGGCCAACTGCCTTTAGAGGAAAAAAGTAAAAAACAAAAAAAAAAAAAAAAGGAAAACTCTAAACCCTTAATAGAAAATGCACAAACGTAGAAATAATGTACATTTGTCTGCCAGTTTATGGTCAACGCAAACACCAACAGTAATTTAAGGCCATTGAACTTCGTTAAACTTAACTATAGTGCACGTATAAGTACGTAAAAGTATATGCAGCGTGCAATAACTTCACGAAGAAGACAAACATTTGAAGGAAGAGATTACTAATAGTGCCTTTTTGGATAATAATAATAATAATAACAATAATTTTCTCCATACCACTGGTAAGATGGCGTTATACTCATTTGGTTTTTTTTTTCCAAAATATATGTAACAGTCAAAAGGAAGCTTCAGAGACGCTATAGAGTATATATATATATTCTTGATCAGACTGAAATGCTGAGTTGATTTAGCCATGTCCGTCCGCCGGTCCATTTGTCTGTGTGTATCATGGTCGCAAAAATCGAAGATATCGACTTCAAATTTGATAGAAACATTGGAAGTTTCTGCACGCAGGTTGTTAGTGAAAATGGGCGAAATTGGTGAGAGGAGAAGCGCGCAAGGGAGCGTAAAATGAACGCAACTCCGTCTTTCTTAACAAGAATTTTCGAATTTTTGCTCGTTACTCGGAAGTTATTAAAATTAAAGTTAGAAAGAAACGCTGACACTTTTCACATTTGCTTTACGAGACACTTTACTCTCCCTAGGTCCAAAAATGGAATCTATCGACCATGTCTACGCAAAGTTACGAGTAATTAAATTTAATATTTTGCACTTTTTTGAGACTTGGTGTTTATTTATCATAAGGCAAACAAGACCGAATGTTTAAAACTATTTTGCATACTCCTCAAATGAAGATATGTTATCTGCCTAAAAACGGGGTTCAGTTCAGAATGAACCTGGTAGACACTGCGATTAATTTTTTCTTAATAATACCAGCGATATGGGTATCAAAGAAAAGAACTTGGTGAGTAGAAGGCGAAAAGCGTAGTGGTGGGTAGGGGAAATTTCGAAATTTCGCGATTTAGTGAATTTAATCTTCTTTTATTCTATTGCGTATAATCCAAAAGAAAAGTGAATGAATGACTTTGCTCGGCAATTGAACATAAAAAGAAAAGATAAATAACTTGCAATTATGTGCGCAGCTACAATGAGTGCCCCTTCAATTGGACACACATCCAACTGAAGAGGCTGACGACTCTCTATCTCTTCCCATTTTCTCACTTTCATTATTGTGTTGGCGAATAGGAGACATGCCCGGAATGCTTGGGCATATTATAAAAAATGAATAAGTAAAGTATGCTGAAGAACAATCCTGCTTTGAATTTTTCATAAACCTTGATTTTTCACTCTTCAATATATGATACAAGTTAAATACGATTATGCTTAGAAAGCAGAGCACGTTTGAAGTACTGTTATAGAAATCACTTTAAAAAATACATTTCCTATATTGTTTCGAAACGTACTCTAGAATAATTCACAAAAGTTCATTAGCGCAACTCAAAAATACAAATGTTCAAATTTTTAAGAAAAACTTGACCTTAAGCAAGTTGGTTGCTGGATGGCTTTCTGACTAAAGGCGACTCCGGGTGAAATTTTCGAAATTGCATTTAGATAATTTCTGAAAGAGAATTAAGTTAAAATATTATAAAGTCGGTCAAGGACGACTATCGAATAGTCTACCTAATCTAATTTAATGCAATTCTTTATCTGCTTTCGTCATAGAATACCAAAAATTTTACGTTATATTCGTGTAAAAGCTTACGTGAACCGATGTGCTTCAAAGTTAATGAAGTTAACTTGTTTATCAAAAAACTTGAGGCACTTCACCTATCGTCCAATGCCAATAATTGTACTTTGTATCCCTGTACAAAAAAGGTGATTGGATACCTTAGGTCTAAAACGTTCGCACAAACTTAAAACAGATTTCCAACGTGACACGCGGTTTTCAATCAAATAAAAGTCAATTTGAAAACCGCTAAGACGCTATATAGGGCTTATCACAGTAAAATGTATATAACTTAAGAGAAGTCATTTAATCATTTATATCGATTTGGTTATGAACTTTTTTCAATTCCAGGAAATTTTCAATTAATTTAATAAGAGGTATAGATAAGGCTGGTGATCATTTCATTTTCATATTCATTGACATTAAACTCTTAATTTGAAATATGAATATTTAAATAAACATAGAAAACATGCGCGCAACATATATAATATATTAAAGGAATAGTAATAAGTTAACACTTACATTGATATGTTCATTTTCAACCATTTTCAGTAGAGCTATCAGTGAAGCTTTATCAACGGCCAGCCATATGCCAATACCCAGAACTATTGTGCCAAGGACCTATGAGAGGAATGTATAAAAATAATGAAGAAGAATATTATAAATTATTTCTATAACAAATTACACTAAATAAAACCGGTTAAGTGTATCGGCATTTAAATTGCGTCGCAAAAATTGAACAATGACGAGTTTACTCGTCATAGACAGAGTATCTTTAATATGAAATGACGTTGTAATGAAATAATTTGACAGATTGATATAAACACGTGCCAAAATACCGATGAGGACGGATGGGCAGATCTTCACATATATATAGATTTGTCATAGCAAACGCACGCTGTACTTTTCTCATGACGTCCACAATCGTCATACATAGTTAACTGGTTAATTCCCGATAGATTTTTATAATCTCGTACATAGTGTGTCTGATTTATTACTTTCGTCTGTCCGTTCGTCCATTTAATGATTCGCATAGGTCTGTTAAGGTCTGTTTTTACGCGAAGCTGTATGAATGCGGGCGTTGGCCCTTCACATTTACGCCAGATGAATAGATGAAGCGTTCATAACATGCATGTTCCACCGGATCAACTGGCACGCGCCACTTTTAAAAAAAAAAATAAATAAATAGTATAAAGCTGATGTGATTATGATTAGGAAAAGTTTACAAATATAATTTTATTGCTTGTTTTCTTTATTATTTCATTTTTGTTTTGATTTAAAAATAATTTTATTGGCAAATACTTACAAAAAATAAAAAATTAAATATGCACAACACATATTTGCCAATCCAAACACCGCAATCGTAGCCCATTTTGTTTTGTCTATTTAATTCTTATTATATATATATATATATATAAATATATATATATATGTTTTTTTTTTTTTTTTTCTTTTATCTATGGTGTTATTGTTGACTCTTTTTTTCGCTATCTGTTGAACCGCGTATTAGGTTTCAATCAATTCAAATTAATTGTGTTCGTTCAGCTTGATATCTGTTGATATCTTTAAAAATATGCATAAATCTGTGAATTGAAAGGCAAAGTAATTAATATTATTAACGTTGCGTTGAGATGCGTGTAGAAAATTATATAGAAATTTTTTGTAGAGTGGCAAATAAATACATGTGTACTCATTTACTACTATACATATACATGTCTACATATATTGTTCATTTAACAGGAATTTCAATGTTTTTTTTTTCTCGCGACACTTGCTTGAATTTTACTAATTAAACTTTTCATATTAAGTTTTGCGAAGAACGGGAACAATGATAATAGACTTTCCAACATTAATTATATAAATGGAGAAGACACCCTATCAAAATGAAATAAACGCAGCGATCAAGAAGATATTTGAAAATGTTTTGCACAAATAATCGACAATAGTTTGTTTGTTTGTTGTTGTTGTTGTTGTTGTTGTTGTTGTCGTTGTTTATTCATAATAGAATAGGCAATAAAATTCGTATATAATTTTAGCGGCATATAGTGTGTAACTCTTCAAATTTTCTTTACCCAAAAGGAATGAATTCCTTCCGCGGTTTTTCTCTTTCTTTCTCTTCTATGTCTATTTTTTTTTTTTTTTTTTAGTATCCATTCTCGTCGAGGTATAATACTGAGCGTGTTCGTCTTTCGAATTTTGTGATCCCATCGATTCGCACAAATTATGAATGTAATTTGACGCAAGACTGAATATCAAAACGAATATTTTCGGAACTCTTTAAATAAAAAGCAATTAAATATGATCGATGTAGACATCTAGTCTTGCAAGCTTCTGCATAAAAACACTAATAAAGTAGACACAGTTATGCGGAAAAAAATCATTGTTTAGTTTACATATTTTGTATATATATATATATATATATTTTTTTTTTTTTTCGGAAGGGGCGTTGCACATGCAGTTGTCATTCAATCTGCATACATGCACGACTACACACACAACAAACTTTTGATTGCATTATTTTTTTTTATAAAAGTAGATGATTGCAAGTTATTCGATATTTCATCCTTACAACTCAAGTGATTGATTAGGTTAAATTGCGACTAACTCAACAATAACGTAGTTCAAATAAAAAACGTTAAGTTTTCAATATGCTGAGGGCATGCATTAAAATTACAAAATTATGCTTTAATTAACTCAATATTCCGTTCGAATAGTCCTATGTAATAATAATAATAATAATAATAATAATAATATCACAATTCTGCACAAAATAAATTAATTAATTTTTATATCTCTCTATGTTAGTTATAGTTCCGTTCAGTCTTGAAAATATCGTATTCGAAGTCTTGTCGTTGTTACTTGCTTTGTTTAATTTGAATAAAAAAAAAAAAAAACAAAGAAAAAAAATTCATTAATTCCCAGCTATAATGAAAAGTATATGGTTGCACTAATTTTTTTTATGTAATCGGAAGAACACAAAGAGTTTCCGAAACGCAGCAACACCATTACTGAGCCGAACAGTAAAGGACATATAAACTGCGAATCTATGGTAATGAGATTATTTTTCAGCACGATCACACTTGCATACATATTGCAAGGAGATTTTTAAGGACATTATAAAAGCTCTCAGCGAAAACATATTCTTGCTCTTGCTAATTTCCATTTGTTTCCATCTATGCCTTTATTGAAGGAATCAAAGATAAATTTTCCTTTAAACGCAAAGTTAGCAGACAAAATTTTTATCGCTAGAGACAA